CACCCGGCAAATTTTTTGTATTTTTGGTAGAGACAGGGTTTCACCGTGTTAGCCAGGATGGTCTCGATCTCCTGACCTCATGATCCGCCTGCCTCGGCCTCCCAAAGTGCTGGGATTACAGGTGTGAGCCACCGCGCCCTGCCCCCGCACCAGGGATTTTTAACTTGCCAAATGTGTATGATTGATTTGAAGGCAATAATCCATCCTAGACATGCCTTTTAACTCTCACTCCTACAGTAGAGTAAAATATTTCTTAACAAAGATTTGGTTTTCCTTCAAGTTTTTCAGCATTAATTTTAGACATCCAGCCCAAATAGCTACAACAGGTTTGCATACCTTATCATGATTTTGGAATGCACTGTTCATCAAAACTATTATCTCTGGGAGAAATTACAAACTTTAGAATCTACGTAAGTAAAGGAAGCAGCAGATTATTTTCCATTTACCTAGACCAAGGCCTTCAAAAAATGATGAATTGACACTGTATTCTGTGAGCATTGTAAGTTTGGTTCTATTAATGTAAGAAAAATTTCATTTTCTGTAATTTAATGTTTTCTCTTAAAATATGCCTTGACAATCTGCATCATTTTTTAATTTGGCATAGTATTCCCTTCTATGGATGTTCCATGATTTATTTAACCTTTGATCTGCTGGTGAACATTTAGTTAGCTTTATCTATTGCTGAACATTTTGCTATTCAACACGATGCTTTAATGAACATTCTTTTTTACATTTGTGGTGTTTCTTTACAGCCAATTACCATGTCAAAGAAAATATGCATATTTAGTTTTAGTAGATACAGTACTGCAAAATCCCTCTAAAAAAGCTTAACAGTGCTAATTTCCCTATACCGTCCCTACCTGTGGATACTATCAGACTTTTAACTTTTTGCTGTTTAAAAAGACATTACACATGCACTCATACACACAAAAGCAGTCTTTGTTTAAATGTCACCTTCTTAATGAGGTCATCATAATTTTCCTCTTAAAATTGAACCACCACCCCCCTCAGCATTCCTTAATCCCCTTTACACTATTTTCTGTAGACCTTCTGGCATGCTGTTGTTTCTCTCTTCTTACTCTAGACTGTAGGCTCCAAAAAGGCAAAGTTTTGAGTTTTTGTCCTGTTCATTATGAACAATGCTTGGCATATGATTTAAAAAACTCGCATATTTATTGAATTAAATGGCCATGGCAGTTGTAGAATACACGTGAATTTCAGCCATAGCTGTTATGTTTCTCCTTTGGCCCATCTGTCCCTGGTTTAAATACATCTCACCTGACAAGAAAGTTCTCTTAAAAGTAGCCACAACTGCTTGGAGTGCATTACTCTAAGAAAATCACCCATGTCTGGCTATTAGCAGGCCGTGTGGGAGAAGGAAATACTGTCTGTATAGCAACATGTAGTCAACAATAGGCTGCATATACAACAGTGGTTCTCTAAGATTATAATGAAGCTGAAAAATTCCTGTTGCCTAATGATGTCATACCCGTTGTAATGCTCATGATATTATGGCAGAACACTTTACTTTTTCTATGTTGATACACAAATACTTACCATTGTGTTACAATTGCCTACTGTATTCAGTACAGTAACATGTACACATTTATAGCCTAGGCCCAGTAGACTGTACCATATAGCCTAGATTTATGTTAGGCTATACCATCTAGATTTGTGTAAGTACACTCTTAGGATGTTTGCACCATGACAGAACCACCTAATGATGCATTTCTCAGAACATATCCCATCATTAAGAAACACATGATTGTACTCCTTCCTACTCTGGACTCCCAGGGCAGTTGATTATCAAAGTAGAGCCCAGCCAGTGCTGGCCATCCAACCACCACCTTGCTTATTTTAGCCCTTCCCTTCCTGTTTCTTTCCTGCCAATGCCTAAGGGGGCCTAGAAACAAGAACCAACCCTATTAAAACAGACATTCTATCCAGGCAAGTGACTGGCACTGATCTGCCCCACACTAGGCACAACGCACTCCCTACCATCCCTTTGGCTCCACACCATTTACAGTAACAATGGCACCTTAGTCAAACAGAGAACTGAGGTTTGGTAGAGCACCAAGTTTCATTGTTTTTGTCAGGTCAGATTTTGGATGTGAAAAAGGTATCAGACTAAGAGAAAACAAAGGATAGTGACAATTCAGAGTAGCTGGAGTTGCTTACGCTATATAACAGCTAAGAGTTGTTCATCTACCACTTTAGCATTTTGGTGATACATATAAAACTCCTTAGCTCCTATGTATTTTCTTCACATTTATCAACATCTATAATGTCCTCCCTTTCAGTGGCATATCATGTCAGGTTTGCTTCAAATAAGGAAACGTGATCATAATGAGTATTTTCACTGTGATGTATTTAATGGAGAGGCTAGGTGGTATTTTTGATACTTTAATTCAAGGCTAATCAGGGGGTCTGCAATGCTAGTAACCTTCATCCTCACCTGGAGGAAAAAAAAAAAAAAAAAGGCAGTGATCTCTAGGTACCACTAGGCAGGCCTAAAAAGAAAAGAATATTGTAGGAGAAGCTGTGCAGGCTAAGGAAATTGTATATTTATTTACTTCACATTCCATTTAGTGATGAGTTGCTTTATTCTTGGTCCATTACTTATTTCATCATCTCTCCCAGCTAGAGCAGTATAGGGGTAAAGTTTGATGACAGAGTTCTGGAAAGCAGATAGAGGTTTTCAGGAACTTAGACGTTCCAGAATAAGAATCTGAGCAAGAGAGAGGAAGAGACTTGAATACAGAGTAGGAAGCTTTTATTAGGAATGTCAAAGTAGTGGAGCGGGAATAACAAAGACCAGAAGAAGCTTCACTTGATTATAATTAATTTGCAGTGGTTGGTAAAGGCAGGCACCAAGCCAGATTCACCACTTTATAAATAATAAATCTGCGGGGGTGATGTGAAAGATGCATGGTAAGGTTGCATCAGCAAGGTGAATCACTTGAGTGGGTGGGACCATCTAGAAAAGCATCTGTGTTTGGAAAGGGATCATTCTACAGCTTAGTCCAGAACACCTTGAACACAGCATAGCAGAATCTTGGCTGTAATACTTGGAGCAAATGTCACTGGCAAAAATAGCATATATGCTGGGATGTTCATAAGAAATACTCATAGTTAAGTATTGCTGGTCCTTTCGCATATAGAATCTCAGTATTAGAGGAAAATAGTAAACTGAAACTCTACCTTATTTCTGTTCTTTACGAGCCAGTTTCACCTATTGTATTACTTCATTATCAATTGCAGCTGTGTAGCCAGTGAGCCATAGGATTCTTTTTGTTAGGCACAAAGTAGAAACCAGCTGTTGAGACAAGTAGGAATCTTATGTTAGCCTGCCAGTTCCTCCTTTTCCTACCTACCTGCCTCACCCCCCGTCTCAAATGGTGGTCATGTTTTTTGTCACTCACCATTCAGGGGAGATGCTATCAATGAACCATGCTGGCTACACACAAATGCCTTTTCCTCAGATGATATTAATCATCTTTGCCTTAAAAACTGAAGCTCTTCCAAGTTTTCACTATGAGAGAAAAAAAAATTGCAACACCTAGCCTTGTAGTTAACACCACAACTGAATAATGGAAGTTGACATTTACAGTAACAATGGCACCTTAGTCAAACAGAGAACTGAGGTTTGGTAGAGCACCAAGTTTCATTGTTTTTGTCAGGTCAGATTTGGATGTGAAAAAGGTATCAGACTAAGATACCTTAGTACGTGATACCTAGTAAGATACTAAGATACCTAGTAATGTTTATGTGAACTATCCCAAGGTCACAGGAAATTAATGGCAATATACAAGGTTAGGGTAGTTCACTTTCTATAGGAATTTGGATTTTACTTCTTAAACTACAACGGAAATGTCTCAGGCAATCTGCTTTGGGAGTTTATTCTTGAATAATACTGATTTCTCATTGAAGGAAAAAATACTGTATCCAACAACTCAGATATGGCAGAATTGAAGTCAATGTTCCGGGAAGTTCTTCCAAAACAAGGTATGTACATCACAAATATTGAAGTCATTATTATAGGGACTAAACAAGTGATAGGCAGTGTCACATAGGAGGCTTAACAGCTAAACATCTATAGCTATTGTGTTCCGTATTATTCCATTTACTGTCTACTTTTACTATATGCTTTTTCATGATATCCAGTAAAAGGATAACAAATAAAACATTGTTTCTTATACCTAAAATTGCCAATTAGCTAATTAATTCCTAAAATTGCTAATTACAATATGAATTTTTTTTTTAAAGAAACAGGTTCTCACTGTGTCACCCAGGCTTGGGTACAGTTGGCACAATCATAGCTCACTGCAGCCTTGAACTACTGGGCTCCTGCCCTAGCCTACTGATATGCTAGTACTAGCCAGGCATGTGCTACCATGCCTGGCTAATTTGTTTTTATTTTTGTAGAGACGGGATCTCAATGTGTTGCCTAGGCTGATCTCAAACAATCCAACCCCTTTGGCATCCCAAAGTGCTGGGATTACAGGTATGAGCTACCATGCCCGGCTCAATATGAAACTTCAATGAAAGAAATAATGGAATTTACTGTAATGTTAAATAAGGTCTGAAAGTGGAAAAAGAGAAACCTAAAGCAACAGTAAGAAAAGCCAAAGGTTTAAACATTCAGTTATTTGAATATTTATGTTAAATATCATACTTTGCTATATTTTTTGCACTATGTATATATATTCTGCCAAATCTTATTTTAAAATTAAACTTCTGACACAAAAAGTTGTGTCTTATGGTAGCATAGCTTGGGTAGAAAGCTCAAAACTTGTCTTCCTCAGAAACACCCTAGTAGTAAGAAATGCTGCTTAGAGTGACAATGATCTTTCTGGTCCCACAGCAAAACTCAGTTTAGGTACAAGAGTTTTTCACTGACAACAGATTAATTTTTTAGACCTTCATTCTAGCTGCAAATCTAACTACCAAACAACTGGGTTATCTTTCTTGAATTAATTCTTATTTCTTCTTAAACTTAGGGCCATTGTTTGTGGAAGATATAACCACAATGGTGCTGTGTAAACCCAAACTTTTACCCTTAAAATCTCTGACTCTGGAAAAACTAGAGAAAATGCATCAAGCAGCACAGAATACAATTCGCCAACAAGAAATGGCAGAAAAGGATCAACGGCAAATAACCCACTGAATAACTGAGCACTTTAGGGAACAACCTACATTATCTACTATTTAACAATAACTAGAAAATATGCTTCTGTGTGCTGAAAGTAGTATGTGTTAATACTATCAATAAAATTGAGAGTATTCATATAAATACAAAAATATCCAAGATTGATGAAATTTGTATTATGAATATAAACACACTGGTTTGTATTGAACATAAACAGTTGAACTATGAACCAAGTTTTATGGGGTTTAAAAGTCATGTTTTTAGAATTGCAAATTACATTATTTGTTCACCATTGCTATTGCTATCTTTTATAGGTAACTTGCTTGGGATCTCTTATAGATAACATTCTTGGGCACAAGGGCCTAAATACAACTTTTATATACAGAGGATCTTTATGTTTATTAAATCTGAAGATACATTCCAATCTTGCATAAAGTGTTCAATGAGCTTTTACATTACATAAAAAACAAAGTTTTTAAACCAATTTTATGTGCTGTGTCACGTTTAATGCTGTCTTGTGTGACCAGATCCTACCAGTAATAACAAAACTGTCTTAAACCTCTTTTTTTTTTTAAGACAGAGTTTCGCTCTTGTTGCCCAAACAAGTGCAATGGCACCATCTCAGCTCACTGCAACCTCCGCCTCCTAGGTTCAAGCTATTCTCCTGCCACAGCCACCCAAGTAGCTGGGACTACAGGCATGCACCACCACGCCTGGCTAATTTTGTATTTTTAGTAGAGATGGGGTTTCTCCATGTTGGTCAGGCTGGTCACAAACTCGCAACCTCAGGTGATCTGCTCACCTCGGCCTCCCAAAGTGCTGGAATTACAGGCGTGAGCCACCACGCCCCAGCCCTTAAATCTCATTTTTAAGAAACCCTCACCTATTCTGTGGGCAGCTAACTTTTAATTACATTAATTTTAAGGACTTGAGAATAAAATGACTGCATTTATCATCCAAGTGTCAAACAATAAAAAACCTAAAAATGGTAACTATATTTATATAAGCCGAGGAAATATGGGCTTGGATAAAACCCATGAGGTAAATATGAACATTAAACTTGGTTTTAACTGTAACGGACCGTATCTAAACCTGTAATTAGTATACTCCTAACAGTACCCTCATAAATTCTGAATATAATTCTTGTTTGCTACAGTCAATATTTGGCAGTTTAAATTAGCATAGACCTTGAGGCCTTGCTGAGTTATTAGGCTATGTAAAAGAGGTTAAAAATATGATAATTCTGTGTTACTAATTGGTAATATTTTCTCATACATTGGGTAAATGTCAAGCTTTGGGTCTTTGGAGTATAACTTTTTGTAACACTAGCCATTATTTGGTAACAGAATTTAAGGATGATGGAATGATGGAAAGTATAACATTTCTAAAACTTAATTAAGCTCTAGGTCAGATAACAATGGAGTAAAGTGATACCTGCATTTTTTTTCCCCAGTGTAATCTTAATTTACTATCGTACTTTTCACTTGAAATTTTGTAGGGAAAAAGTTTTCAAGGAACACTAAGATTAAATTCACTAGGTTCAAATATGCTTCCTTATGAGACTTAAACTTTACTGTGTGAAATTAAAGTTTAAGAGGCCTAAAATAATGTACTCCCAATAAAGAATCAACACTGCTTCACATGTTTTATTTTGGTGTACATTCTTCTAGAACCAGGTTCATTTTTCCAGTTTTGTAGAAAAATAGATGTTCCAGCCACCATTTACTTAACTGTCTAGTCTTTTAAGACCAATCAGTATGTTCCCTGGAAAGATGAATAAGTCCCATGACTAATTTTTAAAAAATTCTTTAAGACAAAGAAACAACTTTCTTTTTTTACTCCCAAAGCACAGTATCTCAACAGCAGCAGCCAACATGGGGTTTTAGCAGCTTAACTTTACCCCCTAAATAAAGCTTTGTATAAACCAGTGATTTTACTACAAAAAACACTGTCCTTGAAAGAAAGGAGTGGCAGTCAGACATCAATGCAAAACTTGGAATGATTAGGTCATAAACATGGCACTTACAAAAGGTAGCTTATTAGAATATTCCACTTAAGAAGAGGTTACTTTTCTGTCCCTCCTTTGCCCCCTCGAAAAACAAAAAAAAAAAAAAAGAAAAAACATTTCCTTTAAAAATTCCCCTTAAATGTAGGTTTATAAAATGTCAGAAATGCCTTGTACCCAAAACAAGTGCTTAAAAAAAAAAAAAAAACTTGTGCTAACAACTCTTACAATTCAGATATATATTTTTAAAACATCTAAGACTGCAAGAGTTCTTATATTCAGTAGCTCTCTGGTTTAAGACGACCTCCATCTCCTTCGCTTACAAAACGCTTTCTGCCCCTGTAATGAAGAAAAAAAACAAAGACATGAAAACAGATACAGATTCTGACTATAGTCAACAAAAAAAATTAAAAACTTGGTATTTTTTTGTTACGTGTTAGCTTTTAAAGGGTTTTCCATTTAAAAAAAAAAAAAAAAGCATGCCTCTAATTCCTTTGGAAAAGACTCCCTACTATGTATCTTACCATAAAACATCAATATCAAATCTGAGTTTTTGTTTTAGTAAGTTCACTATCCAAACAGTCATATTAAAAAAAAGTTGACTCAAACTAAAGCATTTTATTTAGAAATTTAAATTTATTTCTAATTATTATTTGTAAGCTTAACAGTGAGCCAAATAGGAAACACTAACATAATTCAGAATTAGGCAAACTGGAGCTGTGGAACCTATCAAAATATCCATGTTTGACAATTAAAAAAAATAAAAAGTTTTATCAACTGTAGAAAAGCCATAACTTGAATGTGGAAAAAAGAAATCAGAATCATAGCCTATGCCCCATGTTGGGATTTGTGCTTTCTCAAACTCAAGAAGCTCAGCTCTATAACGTAACCACACTCTAGCTAGTGGCAATAGCCCAGAAGGAACAGCTGGCCAGTGGCCTAAAGCAGTAAGTGGGAAATAGAAGTTGGGCAACATTAGCCCTTACTCTCTGACCCCAGGCCAACAGGCACAAGCATGCAAAACCACACACAAATGTGCACCTCACCCAAATAGGCTAAAAGATAAAGGACCCAAGTCAAAGCTATATGGTATGTATACACAGAAAGTTTACTGCCTCACATGACCCTTGAGAATAAAGCCACACAGAAACATTCAGACTTTCAAACAGAGGCTGAAAAACTTTCAAAAAGTCAATGCCAGGGTACTGGCCCCTTTTCATATCAAGTCTAAGTGGAAAACAGCTACATCATCTTGAACATAAAGGCTTCAGACTACGTATTGAGACCAAGGTAGGGAATGAAGAAGTAGTCAGTAATAATAAGGCCTGCCAAAGTTCAGAGTTTTTACTAATGTATACCACTTGGCACATCCATACATAAATCCTGCCATCACCAAACTAATGTCTATATTTCCAAATATTCCTAGTAAAGCTATTAAACTATCTTTCATCACTTTCTTTTCCCTCTCTTTTAATGGCTTCTAAAATTCTAAAGCAAAAGCCCCTACTAGGAAATATTTTTCTGAGTTTTAATTCTTACAATGCACTTAAATAAAAATATCAAAGCTTAAGAAATTTTCCAGATAAAAAATTGTAAGAACTTAAGATTATATAAAACTGACCCACACAAGCAGTAAGTTTGGCTATTACTAAACATTTATATTATTACATTATAAGCTTCATTATTAGCTTTAACAACAACAAAAAACTTAGCAACTCCTTAAGAGTTACATCCTAGTAGCAAAAAAATAGCTCCAAGGAAAATCACCCACACACATACACTTTCCAGTGAGAACATCCTCCACACACCCCCCAACACACACACTTTCCAATGAGAACATCCAATTAGACCCAGTTCTCCAACCTGTAAAAAAGTCAAGGAAGCCATGTCCAGTACAGGTAAGAGCCTAGATCTTTGAAGCCAGAAAAGTCCTGGATTCATACTTGGCTTCTACCATGTACTAGCCATGTGACCTTAGAAAAAGTATACCTCCCTAAGCCTCAATTTTCTCATCTTATCACTGATAATACCTACTCTAAAATAACACTGAAACTACTTACAACAAAGGAACTGCTCCACAAGATTAGTTTCTTTCAAATGAACTGGGACTTCATGAGGCAGTCCTGTACAGATTTACAAGGGGGCTAAAACAAGCTTCGCCCTTCTTTCTCCATGAACTCACAAGAGTCACGTTCTTCAGTGACTTCAGGGAATGATAAACTAACTTAGCACTTAATTTTCCCAAAGACCTCATCCACTATTTTATATTGAGAAAGTAGTATTTAAATAAAGTACCTTGAAGGACAAAGATCTCTGAGTTGTTTGGAAATTATTCCAGACTGAAAACATTCTTCTACAAACCGCTCCAGCACAGAGTACGAATGTGGGACATCCAGATTAATGTCTGGAATTTCGTTGTAAATTCTCTCATAACCCTACAACAATGAAATTACACACAGAATTGTTAGCCAATATAAAATATATGTCATAAAACACAATCGATCCATCACTATGTCATCAATCTATATTTAAGGCCAAATGTTCAAGTGGTTAAACTGAAGTCTGATTTGAATAGTGAGAAGCACAGAAAGTAGATTTGTTACAGTGTTTTACAACTGCTCTCTTTTATTAGAGTCAGGAAATAACAGACACTGGCAAGGTTGAGGAGAAAAGGGAAGGTTTATATGCTGTTGGTGGGAATGCAAATTAGTTCAGCCCCTGTAGAAAGTGGTTTGGAGATTTCTCAAAGAACTCAAAATAGAATTACCATTCAACCCAACAATCCCATTACTGGGTGTATATCCAAAGGAAAATAAATCATTCTACCAAAATGACACCTGCATTTGTATATTTATCGGGTACTATTCACAATAGCAAAGACATGGAATCAACCCAAGTGCCCATCAATGGTGGATTAGACAAAGAAAATGTGGTACATATACGTCCATGGAATGCTACATAGCCATAAAAAAGAACAAAATCATGTCCTCTGCAGCAACGTAGATGCAGCTGAAGGCCATTATCCTAAGAAAATTATCACAAACATAAAACCAAATAATGCATGTTCTCACTTGTTAGTGGGAGCTAAACATTGGGTACACACAGACATGAAGATAGGACCAATAAACACTGGGAATTTCAAAAGTAGGGAGGTGGGAAAGAGGACAAGAGTTGAAAAACTACCTATCAGGTACTGTATTTACTACCTTAGGGACAAGATAATTAGAAGCCCAAACCTCAGCATCACTCAATATACCCATCTAACAAACCTGTACATGTACCCCTCTGATATCTAAAATTTAAAATATAAATTTAAAAAATAAGTAAAATTGGTTACATAGCTAAAAAAATTTTTTTAAATACTGTTCTCTTAAAAGAGCTGTAGGCAGACACCAGACATTGGGCAAACTCCTTTCCCATCTACTTCTCTATCTACACTTAGTATGTTCTTTTAAAAAATACAGGCCAAACACAAACCTCACAAACATTTAAAACAAGAATCATAAAATTTTAAATAGGAAAAAAGTACTTTATAATTTGTTAAAAGTTAAAGGTTCATGTTTCTCGCTAGATATAAAATAGAAATTGTCACATCTTAGATACCGAACCCTTGAGGTAGAATACATAATCAGATTTGTCAAAGTAGGTTAAAAAAAAAAAAAAAAAAAACCCACTGCAGTGTTACTTTCCAAGAAATGGTTGCAAAAGGTTCAAACCTCAAACATTACCATTAAGAAAAAATATATAGGCATAATAACACTAAACATACCTAAAGAAAAGTCACTGACAATTCATAATCTGTATTCAATCATATATTTAAGGCATAATACTAAAAGTTGTTCAAAAATAATGTTATACTTACTCTTTTCATTTGGTCTACAGTAATGGTAGAAGACTTCCAAAGGGACTTTAATAAATCCAAAATCATCTTAAATGTACTTTCTCCAGTTGACTCTAAAACCATTATAACAGCCTAAAAATTGAATCAATGAGTGAATTTTTGGTTAATTTATATATGAAACCGCTCCTAAATGTATCAGATGCCTTTTGTAATAGTAAAAATTTAAAAACCACTTCCTCCTTTGATATTAAAAAAAGGATGTACATTATTTAAAAAGCATAAGTCACTATGGTACAAAAAGGAACACTTAATAATTCTCTTTGACATGGCAAGGTAATCTTACTTCATATACAAGCTCATGGTGAAAATGAGGTACTTCCAGTTCCTTAAGGCAATGTTCAGCTTCAGATATGTCTCCAGAGAGTAAATATTCTTTCAGCAGCATATCGATCTATTAGATTTAAAAGTTGAGATGTGTTAGAATTCCTAACTTTTAAAATATCGTGCTTGCCTACAGGATTATTTGCCCTCATTCCAATATAATGAAATAATGGGTAACAGCTAGTAATATATAGACTGGACATGGTACTATTATCACAGAATTTTTCATAATTAAAAAATAAATCCCCAATTTTTAAATGGTTCATAATTATGACTCAAATGCAATGCTTCAGTGTGTCTGAATCACTGAGATCTACGAGTAGGTTTATAATGGACGTGTCCTGGGTTGTGACCATAATGCTTTAGTGTGCCACTAAAAATAAGGGATTTTAAATACCACTAGAGGGCACTAACAAAGTTTCAACATAAAATGGCATAAATATTTCACTTCTATCAAGATGCTGCTCTTAATAGTGCACTGAGAGTCAAAAAATGAGAGATGATAATGGGGTATTACTAGACAGGGCAAAGATTTCCACACAGTTTCTCTTTTCTCTACAACTGAGAATTTGAAACTCATTATCTAAAATGTTCAATAATTCAGTTTCCAGCTGTAAAGAAACAAGTCTTGATTTTCCTGCTCAAACTTGAACATCTCAAAAAAGTGGGAGAACTTTTTCAGCACAAGAGCTTCAGCTAGGAATATTTTTGCCTATATGTTCTTTGTTAAAATCCTCTTTGTATTTGGTGGGCACATATCTAGTTGTCTGAATGTTGAATGCTGGCTGACTGAATTAAAAAAAATCGTATTTAAGTATCCTTCCAACTTTTATAATGTATTTTCATAAAAGGTAAAGTAAAATTTAATTGCTGTCATGCTTTAGGATGTAATATTTACATGTAAGTAAATATGTATTTAAATATTTACATGTAAGTAAATATTTAAAGCACAGCATTTGAATATATTTACTTTATAATTACAAACTAATACATAATCATGCATCGTTTAATAGGGATACATTCTGAAAAGTGTGTTACATGACTGTCATGGTGCAAACATCATACAGTATACTCACAGAAACCTAGATGGTATAGCCTACTACACACCAGTGCTATATGATATAGCCTATTGCTCCTAGGCTACAAATCTGTACAGCAGGTCAGTATATTGAATGATATAGGCAATTGGAACACAATGGTATTTGTGTATCTAAACATAGAAAAGGTACAGTAAAAATACAGTATAAATGATTTTTAAAATGATACACCTGTATAGAGCACTCAATATGAATAGAGCTTTCAGGATGGAAGTTACTCTGGGTGATTCAATGAGTGAGTGGTTAGTGAATGTAAAGGCCTAAGACATTACCCATACACTGCTATGCACTTTATAAACACTGTATACTTAGGCTACACTAAATTTATGAAAAAACAAAGTAACTGTGCTACAACATTACAACTGTCTCCATATCACTGAAGGATAGGAATTTTTCAGCTCCATTAGAACCTTGTGGGACCACCACCATCCCATGCAGTTCATCACTGACCAAAACATCATTATGTGGCACATGACTGTACTTGTTATTCAAATCATATTACTTATTTTTAACATTTGTTACATAACTTTAAAAGTATTAAAAATATACCCCATCAAATTCCATGCACTTCTGAAAATAAATTACAAATACATTTATACATTTCTAAAAGTCTTCTTTGATCCAACCCTTCCATGTAAGCGAATATCCAAATAATGTCAACCTCAAACTCATATACTGGTAGATTTATTTCCTTTTTTATCTTGTCAATTTTCTTTATCGAGAGAGAATTCATACACCATAAAACATCTTGTCCAGTTTCCAAAAATATTAATTTTGGAGAGTATTACCATCTTAACAATATTAAATATCCTAATCCATAACCATGGGATATCATTCTATTTATTTAGGTCTTCTTTAATTTCTTTCAACAAGTTTTACAGTTTTCAGTGTACAAGACTTGCATTTCTCTTGTTAAATTTATTCCTAAGTATTTTATTTTTGATGCTATCATAAATGCAATAATTTCATTTCAGATCATTCATTCCTACTGTATATAGAATTGAATTTTGTGTACTAATCTTGTATCTTGCAACCTTTCTGAACTCATTTTTTAGTTAATAGTTTGGTTTCAGTCTTGGGGAGTTAAAAAAATGTGGATTCATTCAAATTTTCTGAATACAGATCATGTTACCTGGGAATACAACTAGTTTTATCTCCTCCTTTCCAATCTGGATGCCTTTTATCTTTCCTGCCTAACTGCCCTGGCATCTTTACTATTTTTATACCTCAATTTTTCTAATAATTATTTAATTTTTAAAAACAGATACTACAATCACAACATTACAAACACTGACTCATCTCTTTTAACATATATAAAAGCAAAAATGGTCACGGGTTCTAACTACATTTTGAACTCCTTAACACTTAAGCTACATACACATACACACACACACCCCTCATTAAAAGATTTACTAAAAATCAAAATTACAGTTACATGAAAAGATTATACTCAAAAATCAGAAGCACATGAACTACAAATCTTCTAGTTGCATGCCTTTTCTTAAAGAGATCTGCAGATAAGGAGTTTTTTTTGTTTGTTTTTTGGTTTCTTGTTACAGAATACCACAATACAGCCAGAAAAAAAAAATCCACAGGGAATAAATCTGGCATTTTAATGCAATAAATCGCTTTTTTTTTTTTTTTTCTGAGACACAATCTTGTTCTGTCACCCATGCTGGAGTACAGTGGCGTGATCTTGGCTCACTGCAACCTCCGCCTCCTGGGTTCAAGCAATACTGGTGCCTCGGCCTCCTGAGTAGCTGGGATTACAGGTGCGCACCACCATGCCTGACTAATTATTACGTATTTTTAGTAGAAATGGGGTTTCACCATGTTGACAAGACTGGTCTCGAACTCCTGGCCTCAAGCAATCCACCCGCCTTAGCCTCTCAAAGTACTGGGATTACTATCAATTTTCTTTTAAAACATGCATATGGGTAGTGAACGTCCTCACAAAAATCTAACACTCTGATCTACTCTAGCACTCATAATTCCTAACTCATTATTTAAGACTATCTAGTTTTAATTTACTTATATAAAAGCATATTTATTGAATAGCTAAAAAACAGAAAATCTCATTTCAACAGCATTTGAAAATTATTAAATAATAATATGAGAGAAAGATTTCAGGCATTCCTTTGAAGTTCATAGATGGCTTGCTTATAATTATTCATGAAAGCCCTTTTAACAGACTCATTTTTTATCATATAATTTATAATAAAAGCTCATAAAGTCAAATATAAAAGAATTATTTCATTTTCCAATTACAGCTGTAAGACCGAACTTAATTTTTGTCCATAAAAATAACAGCTAGTAGCCACAATTTATTTCACTCAGAGGAATACATATAAATTAAGTTAAAAACAATACCCAATCATTACCTCTTTAACAAGGTGATTGACAGATTGCTGCCCACCTCCAGAGCCCCACACACTATCTTTACGCTTTCCACCTTTAGACATGCTCAGAAGCACAGTAGCCTTATCCAGAGCAGCTCTACAGAGAAAGAAAAAAAATTTAAGTTTGGTAGCTGGACATACCTAAAGTTTACCAAATTATGGATAAAGCTTACAAAATCCTATATGCCCTAAATCTTTCACAAAACATAAAAGCAAAATAAAATTCAAAACACTTTTTCAAAACAAAAAGGAGCAAAAAAAGTTGATCCTCATGTTAATATTCTCATGCTTTATTTCATTTCTCCTTCAAGAAAAATCAAAACACATTACAAAATAACTGATCTACGCTGAGAAGAAACACTTCATATATAATTAACTTTCACCTAGATCCATGTCTTCCTACCCAGGAAGACCATTTCACTATGATGTGAAGTAGCCCTAGAAAATTAAGTTAATATACAGACCTAAGGAAAACTAAGACATGGCTGAGTCCAAGTCTCCAAGAAGTCAAGAAAAATCATATAGCACAACTCCCAAATGTCACATTTAGTTATTCCAAATATCATATTAATTATACTAAATCACAAGAGTGAAAAAGACATTTTCTGACTAAAATTCCTACAGTAGATAAATACAAAATAAAACTATAAATGAGGCCTCTCTTGTTAATGTTATCCATCTTATTAGAATATTAAACTACTACAGAATGCTAGAACCTGAGAACAGAACTTAAAAGATCTGTCCAATGGCTTTGTTTCATAAAGAAACTGAGGCCCAAAGAAGAGTGGCTTGACATGAAGGTAATTAATGATTTAGCTAAACTCCAGAACTTTTGCAGTATAGTACTGTCCTCTTCCTGGTATGTCATGTCAACATTCTCTCCATTTTAACAGTGGAGAATACAGAGAAGTGACAAACAGATGTACAGAGTGTTTGATTAATGCCAAGTGTCATTTCAATATGATCCTGTAGAATTTTCCCCTATTTTGAAATTCTAAGTAGGAAAAGTGATTTACTTACCTAGCCTGCACACAATCTACAGTTCCTTTGTAACTATCAATATAGGTATTACATAAAATTCCATCTCCAACAGCTCTAGCAATAAACTGGCCCACCAACTGTAATAAGGAAAAAAAAAAAAAAGAGCTATATAAAAAAATCTTAAATAACTTTTATAGGACACAATTTCTAAATACATAAATGATGATGATTGGCTGAAGTACACAGTCAGTACCTGAAAGATGCTGGAAGTTTTTTTTAAAAAAAAGCCTATGTAGTACCTGTTATGCCTGGCATACACTCCCACATCTTAACCTTCAAGTTAAGTGCCAGAGTGGGGGCCACCTCTGTTGTGCTCACTAATGAATTCCTAACACCTTGCACACTGCCTGAATACATAGTACATGATTTTTTTTTTTTTTTTTTTTTTGAGACAGAGTCTCGCTCTGTCACCCAGGCTGGAGTGCAGTGGCGTGATCTCAGCTCACTGCAACCTCCACCTCCCAGGTTCAAGTAATTCTTCGGCCTCAGCCTCCCAAGTGGCTGGGACTACAGGCGCACGCCACCATGCCTGGCTAATTTTTACATTTCTAGTAGAGACGGGGTGTCACCATCTTGGCCAGGCTGGTCTCAAACTCCTGACCTCGTGATTCGCCTGCCTCAGCCTCGCAAAGTGCTGGGGTTAAATGAATGATTTAAGGTCAAGTGAAGTCTTCTTAAAAAAAAAAAAAAAGAGGAGGCCGGGCGCGGTGGCTCAAGCCTGTAATCTCAGCACTTTGGGAGGCCGAGACGGGTGGATCACGAGGTCAGGAGATCGAGACCATCCTGGCTAACACGGTGAAATCCTGTCTCTACTAAAAAATACAAAAAACTAGCCGGGCGAGGTGGCGGGCGCCTGTAGTCCCAGCTACTCGGGAGGCTGAGGCAGGAGAATGGCCTAAACCCGGGAGGCGGAGCTTGCAGTGAGCTGAGATCCGGCCACTGCACCCCAGCCTGGGCGACAGAGCAAGACTCTGTCTCACAAAAAAAAAAAAAAAAAAAAAAAAAGACTAGGTTCTCTCAAAAACTAATCAAAGGAATTTATCTTGTGGAGAAAGAAGTTGTATAGAAATAGCTGGAAGTATGTTCACAGCATTACTTATTATAAAAAATGGAAATTAGTGTCCAAAAATAAAGCTATGGTTCAATGGTATATATGTAAAATGGTATATTATGTGGCCACAGGGAAAGATATTTACCATATTTCATGGTATGAGAAAAATCAAGTTTACAAAATAGCATACATGGTATGATTCCATTTTTTTAATTAAAAAAAATTAAGGATTTATAGAAGTCATACACTGATATATACCCACAGAAAGGAGAAAGGAAAACTTAACACCAGTAGCAGTTTTTGCTGGCCTTTCTTCTTTCCGGCTTTTATGTTTCAAAAATTCTACAATAAATATAAACTTATATAATCATTTTGTTACAGTACGTGTATTGGTATAAAAGGAAAAAATGTCTGCATTAGAATCACCACTCAATATCTCATACAGACTACTGTCTGTCATAAGTATAACAGAAACAGCATTTAGGAACTGACATGCCTATATTCTATTTCTAAATTAATGTTTTAGGTAAAATGATTTTACCTTGATTAAAAACTTTTGACAATAACAATTTCACATGTTTTCAAAGCTACAAAAGGGAAGAGTCTTATTCCTGATTTTTTATAATGAACATTAGTGAAGCAATCGTAACCTACATTTTTAAAAAATCTTAGTTAATAAAACAACTACATATAATAAAGACTATATGGCAAAACAAAAAAAAAAGAACTAAAAACTACACAGATCATGGGGGAAAAGTACAACATAACATTAAATTTATAGCATGATGAAGACCATGTTTAAAAAACAAAAGAACTAGGAAAAAATACACCGAAATGTTAGAGGGGTAGTTCGGTGTGGTAGGAAATGTGGGCCATCCCCTTCCATCTACTAAAATTTCCTAGGAGTATACATTACTTCCACAATTAGGAGTATAGTCGTGGGAGAGAATGAACAAAAAGAAGAATCATACAAACCTGTGGTGCTCTAGGAGTATCCAATGCTAATTCAGGTAGATCTTTCAACAATTTATCAAATGATTTTTCCACATCACTTGTGCTCATTACTGTCCCACAAAGGTCAGAAAGAAGCTTAGATGTCATCTCTCTATGACTAGCCTTCCCCTCCAATGCTAAGGACACTGCCAACACCGGTACTCCACTTTTCATTTCACCAAGATTTAAATCTCTTAACATTTCCTGTTCAAAAAAATAATTTAAAAACATTTTTAACGTGTATCACTACCTACAGTTCAATAAAATTTTATTTTTGAAAAATCAAGCTTTTATCTATATGTCTTTACCTCTCACTCTTCGGAAATAATTAAAAGACACAGTCATGTTTTAGGAGATAGGATAAATACACCTTTTTTCCCTGTGCATAAATTAGACATTGATCCACTTTGTCAAGCTTTAACTGCCTTAACATCGCTAAATTCAAAAATGTGAAATACATTTAAAATACTGTCATGGGTCACTTAACGACATGGATACATTCTGAGAAATTCACCATTCAGGTGATTTCATCAGTGTGCAATCATTATAGAGTGTACTTACACAAACCTAAATGGCATAGCCTACATGTAGGCTATATGGTATAACCTATTGCTCCTGGGCTACAAACCTGTATAGTATGTTACTATACTGAATACTGTAGACAACTATAACACAATGGTTACCTATCTAAACACAGAAAAGATATAGTAAAGAGTATTATTTGAGACCACAGGTATATATGCAGTCTGTCATGGAAACATCATTATGCAGCTCATGGCTAGTTCATTAAACTACATAATATTGCTAAGATTGGTATTAGGAGTAACTAACCTGCCTTACAATCTATTATTTCTATAAATACTGCTTTATGAGAATTTGTGGAGAAATTCATTTTACATTATCATAAGCTATTTATATTCTACTTTTCTTCAAAGCCTTCTCTTGAAATAAAAATTCACTTTACACTTCTGTATCAAGTTTAAAATTAGATCTTAAACAACTGTTTTTAAATGGGATTATTGGTTTAAAATTCTGGGGTAAATTTAAAATTTCCTATTAGAAATATAATAGCTGCAGCTAATACTTATTGACTAATGTATCAGGCATTGTAATAGCCTCTTTATTTATATTATCTTATTTAATACTCAAATAGCCCTTTGAGTATTAAATTATCATACCTACCATACTCAAAGCAGAGAGGGCACACAGCTGGAGTAGCCAAACTGAAAGCGGAATAAAGGTAGTCTGACTCTAGAAGCTAAGTTCTAATTCAGTTAGAGTGCCCTCCTCTTTAATGAAAGTTTTCTTAGAATCTTTAAATCATGATACACCACTAAGAGAGTGCCAGAACTATTTCACAGCCACCTAACTGGTGTCCTTGTTAGTAATCTCTTCTCACTCACTACAGTTCATCTTCATTGACTGCACTTTAACAACTAATCCATTACCCTCAAACATGATACTCCTCTTTCCTGGAAAACTATCTTAACTGGCGAACTCCTCACCATCCTTCAGAACAGCAGAGAATCATCTCTACTATTACTCTCTATTTTATGCTTTCCAAACCTACTCAGTTAATAGATATGTAGTATACAGATGGTCTTATGCGAGGTAGATAACAAGATTTCAACAGTCCCTGCCCTCACAGACTCATGGAAACTTTTCCTCTATAACAGAATGTTTCACATACTTTAATAATCTGTTTACATATCATTTCTTTCACTTGACTGGGCTTCAAAAGGGCAAGAATCACCTATTACAAATCCCTCCAGATGGTATGCACAGAACAAATATTTGTCTTATATTCAAATCCTACAAATCCAAAGATAACAAACCTCACAGTACCAGACAAATCATAAAAGTCTAGTCTAAATTTTAAGAATCTAAATGATCAAAGTCTTCTAAGGGTTACAATTATATTACTTTAATTCAATAATCCTAACTGACCAATAGTTTTATTTTATCCTAAATTTACTTTATGAACAATTCATAATTATTCTCATGGTTTCTAATTCTTTTTCAAATCTTTATTATTTGTGGGGGTTTTTTTTTGGACAAAGTACAAAGAAATCTTATCCTACTTCTGAACATACTTGAAATAAATGTCAAAAAAATGAAACTATGTCAGGCATTCTTGTCTGAGGTCCCTGAAGAGGTTTCAGGGGGGTCTATAAGTGCCCTCAAACTGCTAAAATTATATCTTATAAATTATAAAAACAGATTTTATAAATTCATATACATTACAAATTATCATTATAAAAATTATTAAAATATTGTCATTTTTCAGAGAAGAAAATGGCACATAGCTCTCATCACATCCCAAATATATAACTATTTTAATGTAATGAGATTTTATTCCATTTTTTAGAAATTCACTTATGCAAAAGAAAATGATTAAATTTATTCAGTGACCCAAGATCATTCTAGATGTATTTTGCTTATAAAAGATGTCTTCTCTCCTATATTAAATAAATTACACTTGCAACTTTAAACCTACCGCAACTTCATTAGTATCTCCATGCTCAAAATATTCCTGTATGATTGGTGTTAAAGTCTTCTCAAATGCCCTTTCATCCAAAGGCAAAACTACAGTTTCATAAACACAGTTCTCCTGTGAGGGGAAAAGGGAGTAAGAGTTATAAAAAACAAAATGCAAATAAACAAATGAAATTGTTGTATAATTTTTTATTCTAAGTAGTTAATAATCCCCACTTAGCACAAGACAAAGACATGCTACATACATTCATCACATAAAAACAGAATCTAGGCCAGGCAAGGAGACTCACACCTACAATCCCAACACTTTGGGAAGCAAAAGCAGGAGGTTCACTTGAGGCCAGGAGTTCAATACTAGCCGGGGCAACATAGCAAAACCCTGTCTCTACAAAAAAATTTTAAAAATTAGCCAGGCATGGTAGCCTGCACCTGTAGTCCTAGCTACTCAGGAAGCTGAGGCAGAAGGCTCTCTTAAGCCCAAGAGTTTGAGGCTGCAGTGAGCTATAATTAATTCATCACTGCACTCCAGCATGGACAACAAAGCTAGAAAATAGTAATAAAATAATAATAAAAATAGTAGAATGTGTATGTCACTGCTCTTTTACAAAATCAGAATAAGCCAATATATAGATTAGAGCCATTAACCATAGCAAATACATAATTTGCTCCCAACCCCCATGTCTTAATTTTTTCTCTCAAAATTTTTATGTCTCTCTCAAAACCAATCTTTCGGTAACCAAAAAGCTTCATGATGGCTTCCTATCATATATGGTATTTTAGTTAAAACTTCACTTTTAGAAAAAAAGAAGCAGAAACCAAAGCCTTCACAATTAACATTATTATAATAAAAAGTATAACACAAAGATCAAGGTTGTAGTGGCAGAAAAAAATCTCTAAGGAAAAAAGCACTGTTCAATTGAAATTTCAAAAAGAAGATTAACATACATCATCGAACCACTCCTCTCTCCCCATGCAAAACAAGCTCTGAAATGTAGTGCCCCCCCTTATCTACAGGGTGTATGTTCCAAGCCCTGTCAGAGGATGCCTGAAACCACAGATAGTACCAAACCCAATAAATACTGTTTTTTCAATCTGATAACCTAGACAGCTACCATGTGACGAATGCACGAGTAGTGTATACATTGCAGATACACACTGGACAACGGAATGGCTCACATCCTAGGCAGGATGAGGTGGATGAAGCTGGACAGCGGGAGATCTCATCATACTACTCAGAATGGCATGCAATTTAAAACTTATGAATTACTTCTGAAAGCTTCCAATCAGTATTTTCAAACCACATTGGACCATGGGTAACTGAAACTGCAGAAAGTGAAACCACGGATAAGAGGGGACTGCTATATTTGCAACCTGTGACTGGCTTCAGCCTAAAAACATATACTTGAAAGATTAAGACATTTTTAGCAAAGATTCTACAGTACTTGAATCCTACTAGTTTCATATTTTTCATATTCTCTTAGAAATATTTCCATGTCCAACTATTACTTAAAACAGTTAAATACATACATACAACACAAAATAAAAACAATGTAACATATACTCCTAACATTTTCCTGTCTAAAATTTCCATCACCGTGTCTTACCTTATGCAAAGACATGATTTTCAAAAAACATAATCAAAATGTTTGGGATTTGCTTCAAACTAATCCAAAACAGGGTAGGGCAAACAGGCCAAGAGAAGACAGAGAGTAAATGGAATGAAACAAGACTGCCTATGAGTTTGTAATTATTTAAGTTTGTAAAGCTAAGAGAAGAGTACAAGCAGATTATACTATTCTACTTTAAAATTTCCATTAAAAAAATATTAAAAATTCACTACACAATCTTATTAAAAATTTACATTTTCAGCATTATCCCTAAAAGATGCACATCCCCAAAACAAAATTTATTATATAGTTACCATTCTAAACGGTAATATTTAAAAGCAACCTAGTATCTCTAACTCATAATATTCAAAAGAAGATATTCTCAATTATCATTACTATAGAAACAAACTATATTAACAGAATTTACTGAAAAATGGTCAACTTAATAATCCTAAGTGAATTTGTAAAGAGCTATTTCTGACTCACTATGGAAACCAAGTGAAAGTTATGCATATATTACTGTCAGTTTACTTGGTTTCCTAATCCAAAACATATATACATATGATTTGACACATGTATGAGTAAATTACAAACATGGAGTCAAAAAAGTTCATAAACATTTTAAATATTATGAAAAAGCAAAGCACTGATACCTGGTCATCATCATAGTTAGGATCTTTCACATCTACCTCCTCCACATCATACACCTGTCCAGGTGTACCCCAGACACCTTTGCCTCCTGCACCACCTGAAAAAGTTTAGAATTGAGAAAGAAAAAACATAAAATTCATCAATTTGTTGAAATCTAAAATAATCCTAAATGTTCCAATGTTAAATAACAGCTAAAAAAAATTGTATTTAATGTCTATGTTAGTTTTTCTTCCAGTTTTCTTTCCCTATTGGTTTCCTTTTTGTTCAGACCACTCTTTCAATATTTCTGAAAACATTAAGTTCAAATAGCTTATGAAGTTAAAAACTAAAAAAGCAGATACTTTAAAATAAAAGCAAAAACAAATAAAGATAAAAAATAGCTATACTGAGGACCTCAAAGGGGATGATATTGCAGCTGAGCTCTAAATTTTATTCGACATTTCTTTGGGACCAAGACAAAAAGAAACATGCTGGGCCAGTAAAGCGTAGCATAGAAAACTCAACAAGGGAAAGATTATTTAACAAAAAAGGACAGTAACCACCATAAAATATTTTAAAGTCAAATACTGTACTCTTTAAATATAAAAGTACACATTAAACCACACTATTAAGCAATATATTACAAATATAGAAAACAATAACTAATTGCTTTTAAGCATTAACAGCCCTGAAAATTCTATTTTCTAAATACAAAACAACCAATAGAAGCTTAACAATTCCAATTTTCGAAGTTGCTTTTCTACATCAACTTACTGAAATGTTTTAAGGACCAATGCACTACATTATTTTTTAAAGAACCTTTACAATGTCACCAACATTTCTGTTTTTGGAGGGTTTTATTTTGTACCAACTATATCCTTGCCATCAGACCAAAACAGAATCTGATAACCAGGTTTCATTTTGATATAAACCATGATTGCAGAGCCATTCAACAAAAGTAATTTTTGACATCACAAAAACATTTTACAAGAAGCCTACGCTATAAATTGAAGTTCCCACCATTCAAAAGATGATGAAATCATCAGAAAACTCTTAATCAACAAATATTTGTCTATGACGTGCTAGTCACTATTTCAGGTACTAGAGATACAGCAGTGAAACAGACCAATGCACTACAGAACCCAAAATAAAGAGCTAATGAGAACTCACAACCAGATCTCGGAAAACATTAAAATTCAGATCCAGATGTTATCAAATTTATGTTTACTAGTAGTAGTAATGGACATAATTATATTAATTAAATAAGTATGATGGATTTCTGACTCCTTTCAAACTTAGAGAACATATGCAAAACTCATAACAGTGAAAAACATCAGTGCATATTTTGCTGGAAATAAACCGTTAACATTTTACTAAAGAAAATTAAATCTACTCAAACAAGAAAAAAGATCAACCTAAAGAAAAAGTGAGATGGTCCTCACCTTATTACTAAGTAAAAATATATACAAACTGTAAAGCCTTATATTATCACTGTTTGAATTTCTCTCATTCCTAGAACAAGGAAATTGTAGTACAAGAACCAGACAATTTTTTTCCACTTGTTTATCTTCCATTTGTTGGACATGATATATACCAACCTTTCTTTGGTAGTCCCCTTCCTTTCCCAGATCTGGATCGCCTATCCAGCAACCTTCCCTTTGGACTGGTTGGCACAGTTACTCCACTTCTAAGGGCGTCACTCCCATTGTCGCTGACCGAATCGCCTCTGCCAGAGTCCCGGGATGAGTTTTTCCTTAGCCGCCTTTTTGCCTTGGCATTAATTCTAGCTTCATTAATGGAGGATGCTGAAATCCAATTTCCATTTATTTCATTCTTTATTTCCTCAGTCCCAGTGTTTTCTTCATCACCAGAAAAGAGACAGTCACTTAAATTATCAGGATCTTAAAGAGAAAAATGAAGAAAGAAAATTCTAAGTATTTTAAGTATCTACTGTTTTACAGACATAGTGGTAAGTTACATTAGGTTGAATCACATGACACGACCATTTTTGCAGGTAAATTACAGTCGCATATTGGGAATTTCATCTACTTCAATCTAATAAACAACAACTAAATAAGATTATTTTTCACATTATCAAGGAAAGTAAACCAAGGCACTGAATTTTAACAAAGTTTACCAAAAGAAGCATGTTATTTCACGTGTTTAGATCATAAAATCTATGCTAACAGCAACACCAAATATAAAACCCTTAGACTTTTATGAGCTAAGAGAGTTAAGCAATTGGAGATATTAAGAAAAGACAAAGCATCTTGAGAAGAGACACAAACTAATATTTATAGAATGCCTACTATTATTTATCAGGCATTGTACTAGACACTCTATCATTTATTTATGCACAAGTTTGGCAGTTAGTTATTATAACATTGAGGACAGATAAGGAAACTAAGGCTGAGAATGTTTAAATGATTTGCCAAACATCCCGTAACTAGGTATAAATACTTAAGATCTATTAGTAATCCAGAAAAGAACGAAAGGAATTTAGCAAACAATCCATATGATTGTTAAGCTGAACTGCTGATGCTTTACTGCCTCAAGATAAAGTTTGCTTTCAAGAAAAGCCATCATCTCAAAGTCCTAATTCATCTCCCTAAACTGTTCTCATATTACTTACCATCCTGAAAATCTTCCAGCCTATATAAAATTGATTCTTCTAAAAGAGATCAACATACTGGAGTTTCCAGTGGTTCCCCTACTTAGAATGTCACCCTCATTGTTATTTTCAGTTATCAAAATCCTTTAGGATATACCCCAAGTCTTACTCCCTCCATTAAAACTTCCCTTACAACTCTAGCTACAGTAACACTAATTGCTCACGTACTATTCATTCAACACGTCATGGAAATCACTTTCTTTTTATATAACAGTCTTTTTCTTCCAACTAAGTCATACGCTTCAAATGAGAAACCACAACTAGACTGTATGTCCTTCTCTGCATCCCCATCACCTAGCAGAGTGTCCTTCATACTCAAATTCCATGGAGATCAAGTGGAGGCACTTGACTTTGCCCTGAAAGCTCTTTAAGTCAGAAAGGCTACAGAATTAGCTACCACTGGGCCAGAGTTTTGTTCATTATTGTTAACTCAAATCAGAGCTGAATCACTCAAATCATTTTCTATATGCCTAAAGATAATTATAACATGTCAGGTCTATGTGCATGGACTTCAACGTTTTAAGATATATTCAAACCAAAAATTTTCATCAACCTATAAAAAGCCTACATGTGTTTAAATCTTTACAATTCTTGACATACTTAGGAAGGTGGGAATGTTTTATTTTAAACAAAATCATCTATTAGAGCCAAATTATTTCACTAGTCTCCTAAGTAGTCTCCCTGCCTCCAGTCTTCAAACTATACTGAATGAAGACTGATTTTCTCATGCATGCCCTCACTGAAGATCCTTTAAAAGTAATCCCATTATGTCACAAAAAATGTAAACTCTTTTTTTTTTTTGAGACAGAGTCTCGCTCTGTCGCCCAGGCTGGAGTGCAGTGGCGCAATCTCAGCTCACTGCAAGCTCCGCCTCCCAGGTTCACGCCATTCTCCTGCCTCACCCTCCCAAGTAGCTGGGACTACAGGCTCCCGCCACCACGCCCGGCTAATTTTTTTGTGTTGTTAGCAGAGACAGGGTTTCACTGTGTTAGCCAGGATGGTCTTGATCTCCTGACCTCGTGATCCGCCCGCCTCGGTCTCCCAAAGTGCTGGGATTACAGGCGTGAGCCACTGCAGCCGGGCAAAATGTAAACTCTTTACCTTGTAACTTGATCTTGCCCTTGCTTACCTCACCAGAATCACTGCTAACTACTCCCACACTAAAATTGTCAGAGCTTAAGTTAGATATCATAGGAAGGAGATGGGAGGGATTCATTTGGCAGAAGAATATTGAGTATATTACAAAAAGAGGTATAAAGTGGGAAACCACTAAGAAAATGTTTCAGTAATTCAGTCACAAGCTAACTGGTAAAGAGCAAGGGTAGTAACTGTGGGAAAATAATAATGTTATACTTTTAAGGAAAATAATAAAGGCTTTTAAGCAGAATGTATCTACGATTAACGAGAAGTGGAACAATGCCTTAAAAGTTTTCGAACTGGTGAGAAGCCAGTGTTAGGATGGTGTGTTTGAGACATCATCACAACCATCAGCAGTAATTACAGTCTTAATGGAAGCAGCCGTAGTACTGTTTCTTTCATCATTACCACTACTATTGTCAACTATTAGATTCCAGGTTCCACACTACATGGTACCTATTAGATACCAGGTTCTATGCTAGGCACTTTACATATGTGGTCTATAAGCCTCAAAAGCTGTAGAAAGAAACTGTTTATCCTCATTTTACAGAAGGAATGTGTTTCACAAGAAGTTACATATCTAGAAAGGATTATGGCTAGGATTCAAACCCACATTTTTAATCCCATATGACTATAACTACAGAAAATACAAAACTGGAATACAGCAGAGTATTGACAGCTAAAGAAACAGAGATGGACAAGGGAGTGAAAGTAAAGAGAGATAAACAAAAATGATTAAGTAGAAGGGGCAGAAAGACCAGGATCAGATAAATTAGATGACATTTTCATGTAAGAGTGGATGGTTGAGAAAAACATTAAATATCTACCTGTAACATAGTGCTTTCATCATTGCACTATTAAGGTGAACCACAAAACTAGTCCAGAAGACACAGGACTCAGAACTATAATAAAATGTCTTAAACTGTCCCTTGGAGTATTCAATTTAAATGTATCTATTTCCCATAATCAAGTTTTCTTTTCTTCAACCATTTTAATATTCTTTCAAGTATGTTTATGTCTCTGCAGCAGTAAACATTCTCTCTCAGTATAATTTATATATTTGACCTTATAATTTTTAACCCATGTTTATATTAATTGCTTTATATTTTGTTATTCATACTAACCTAAGTGTTGGAGTTCCATAGCCCCTATTGAGCTGACTTTAAGAAAACCAAAATTAAAATGATAACCTGAGTACAGAATGTGATGACTTCAAAATTGTTTTCTATTGTGTACTAATTCCCTCTTTCTGAATTCTGACATCTCAATAGTAACCACTCTAATTGTATATGACCACAGCACCCGAAAATCACATTTTCAATTACTGGTGTCCAATGAGTGGCATAATTAGAATATTACCACATTTTCATGTATTACACATACCTAGTATGTGCTTCACAGACTTAACACACATATACAGTATCTCACTAAATCCTAATTATAAATCTATACAGAGGGTGTTTATATCCCAATTTTATACACTAAGAAACTGAAGGTCAGAATAAATAACCTACTTCCTCCAAGTAAAAGAGTAAGAGTGTGACTTGGATTGCTATAGAAAGAATTTACTACAAAGAGGGTCTGTCTTACGCCTATCCAAATATTGAAGAACAAGTTTTTTATTTTAAGGCAGTGCTGGACAGAAGCACCAAGAACAGGGTTAAAACTAGGTCTTATTGTAGTTAGGAAAAAAAGTATACATTTTAAAGCTATGTTTCTATTTCTGATAGAAATAGAATGCAAGTTACATAAGAAATTTTAAATTTTCCAGTAACCACATTAAAAAGTAAAACCAGGTGAAATTAATTTAAATAAATTTTATTTAATCTAATATAACCATAATATCATCTCAACATGCAAGCAATGTAAAAAATTATTGAGATAGTTGACCTTCATCTCAACTCAGAGTAGCCACATTTCAAGTACTCAACAAACACATGTGGCGAAGCGCAGTGGTGCACACGCCTATAATCCAGCTACTGAGGAGGCTGAAGAGGGAGGATCACTTGAGCCCAGGAGTAATAATAACCACATGTAGCTAGTGGTTACCATACTGGACAGTGCAGAAAAGTAGCAATTACCTATATGTAAAATATATTCTTAAACTCTATTACCATCCCCATCTCAATTAAGTAGGTATATATTACCCATTTATAACCCTAAAGCATACTCATACAGCTTCTGTACATAGCAGCACAGAAATGATCGTTAATTACATAAAAATTTTTTCAATTTTTTACCACACTTTAAAAAGATCTGTAAATAAACAATGGTAAAGAAGCTTCAAATTCAACATGTTTGTTCAGATCAAAGAAAACTATGTATGTTGTAAACAATAGTGAGTTGTCATTGAAGAAATAAAGATGTAGTAATGAAATACACTTAAAATGACAGAAAATACACAGCTTTCAATATTAATAAAATTATAAGGCAAAGAATTATCTAAAGTATACCAATATGAACTGTTCTCACTATTCAGATATTATACAATTCTAATTACCTTTTTGGGGAGATGATTTTGAAAACTATAAATACATTTTAAATCGTCTTGAGCTACTCACATTTGGTCATCTATTCCACAAAACTTTGTTCATTTTTATGATAATAACATACTATTGAAGCACCATGGAGAATTAGGGAAAATACCCTAGGTAATTCAGAATATAAAAATTATTCGTTAAGAAAGATATCAAAAGATACCAGTAAGTTAATATTACAGAAATCACTAACTAGCCCATGTGAAAATAAGCAGGCTCACTATTCTTCTCTATTCTGTACTACATAATGCAGGATAGGAATGTGTGGAATGTGAAAGGATACACAGAAAAATAGGATGTGTAATGAATTCCCATGAAAATAAAAATCACAAACCTGACTTTAAAAATAATATAGCCTGTTTTCTTATAGCATGAATAAAGCAGTATTTAAAGATAGTTTTTCTATCATGTTCTTATAAAATATGGAATGGTCTGAAGCTTACTCACAACATAGTCAAGGTTTAAGATATTCAGCCCGGGCCACATAGTGAAATTCTCTCCCTACAAAAAATAAAAAATTAGCCTGGTGTGGTGGCACATGCCTGTTGTCCCAGCTGCTGAGGAGGCTGAGATAGGGGAGGATCTCTTAAGCCTAGGAAAGTGGAAACTGCAGCGAGCCATGATCACACACCACTGCACTACAACCTGGGTGACAGAGCAAGATCTTATCCCAAGACGAAGAAAAAAAAAAAAAAAAAAAAAAAAAGGAAATTCTTACTTACCTGCAGGGTTTACATTCAGTATCTGCTCACTTTCTACATCCATTTTTCCTTAATTTCACTTGCACTGATTAAACAAATTACCAAATGGAAGTCTTCCTTCAGAATCTGTTTTTTTAAAACAAAAAAAGAAAGCTTCAACATCTTTTAAACTGACGTAATTAAGCTGAATTAAACTTAAGCACACTGTAAAAACAAACAACAACAAAAAACATAATTCCATTAAATAAAAGAGTTCACTTTACTTTCAAAGACAACTTACCCTAATTAACATTTGGTTCCAATCTTCTTGATAAATTTATCTAAGTCAAAAAAAAATTCCAGATTTCAGCATGTGCCAAAGCACCCCTTTAACTGGAATTAAAAGATATGTTTGCGATATGTGTCAAGTTAAAAAAAATACACACATCCAAATCTTTTAGGAATACTAAGCCTCAAAATTAATCTGATGTACATATATAGGAATATAAATACTGGATAGTTCCCTACCAATGAATTATGAGAACTACTCCAAAATAAAAACAACACAGTTTTAGTTAATAAAGAATATCACATGACTGTGTTATTTTTCACATTACGGCATATCTGAAAGGCAGATATATCTGCCACTCATTACCTAGGTCTATAATTACCAGAATAAGACTTTGAGATTGGGAGAAACTTTTAAAATCAGCTTTTTTGATAATATTACTTATATGAGAAATCCATTTTTTAAAAATCTGATCATTTCAGAAAGGAGTACGTACAACGAGATAAGCATCTCAGTATTTTAGGCCTCAGTTTCAAAATGGCTTAAAAATTATTAATCCTGGAAGGTTTGATGAAATCAGTTACCTTTTAGACAATTAACTTAGTGATACAGATCCAATGTTATATGAAAGAAATATCAAAATAGTTTTCAAAAAATATATTACCAGAAAAAGTGCAACCAAATTAAGATTTCAGAATCTCTCTAGAAGTATTTTTTAAATAGTGGTTTAGAGTACTTAAGTGTATGTTTAAGTCACATAGGTTGGATATAAGTCCTTCCAGTCATTTACAATCAGGCTGCTAGCAGTGTGCTCTTCAGAGATATAAAATGCACAAATTAATGGAAATGCCTAATTACAGAAAAGCACATTTTTTTCCATATAACGTAACCTACTGTTAGATGTCATTTAAGGATAACAATGATATATGCAGAGCCTCCTGGGACTCAAAGGTGAAACTGACTTTTAAATTCCACATTATATACTATTATTTGCTAACACAAGTTTATAGCCCTTTTCTTCAGAAAAGGGTACTATTTTGCGAAGCAAAAACAAATGGACCTTGTGTTAAAATTGTAAGGTTTTTTTTTTTTTTTTTTGAGATGCAGTCTTGCTCTGTTGCCCAGGCTGGAGTGCAGTGGTGTGATCTCTGGCTCACTGCAAGCTCCGCCTCCCAGGTTCACACCATTCTCCTGCCTCAGCCTCCTGAGTGGCTGGCACTACAGGTGCCCACCACCACGCCCGACTAATTTTTTGTATTTTTAGTAGAGACGGGGTTTCACCGTGTTAGCCAGGATGGTCTCGATCTCCTGACCTCATGATCCGCCCGCCTCGGCCTCCCAAAGTGCTGGGATTACAGGCGTGAGCCACTACCCGGCCTATAAGCTTCTTACTATGGCATAATCCTCAGACTAACATGCTATCATATTGCTTGGGAACTTAACAAAACGGTGAAATCATTCTCTAATTCTATTTAGAATAAAATAATGTGAATCTTTAAAATCACTTTTTAATACAACTCCCACCAACTTTAGATATGAAAAAAAATCTTAAAAATATGTAGAGATTCATATAAATACATGAACAAAAATGATTTGCAAATCTAAACATTCAGCATCCTTCATGGCTGAAAAGGCTACATTCTGTTTTAATTCCATGCATGAATTACATATAGGAAAGGAATAATGTCATATGTGTTTCAGTTTTTTAGAGTTCCATTACAAAGTCTTTTTCATTCTTGATGAAAGCATAACCTTTGAGAGAATATTTTCTGCAGAGCCCAATAAGTGAAATGATTATAACTAATGTTTATAAAGCCCTTTACAATTCAAAAAGAATTGTACATGTATTATTTAATGTACCTTACAGAACAATCTTCAGGTAAGTATTCCACCTTACACACAACTAAACAGATTCAGAGAGGATAGGTGATATGTCCAACGACAGCCAGCTGCTTAGTGGAACAGCCAGGACGAGAATTCAGACCTTCCAAATCCAGTACTGTTTGCACAAGTTCAATCCAAGATTTTAATAACCCACAGGAAGATTATTTTCAAGGATTACCAGAAGCTTATTAAAACAGACTTCTGCTGTTAAATCAAACTTTTAAATGCTGTTTTCCAAACACTAAAAATAATTATTTTAAACTATTATACAGAAGGCATTCCGTCAAACAAAGAAAACTGTCAGGAAATGACTATCATCTCTTTTATTAAGATAAAAACAAAGTTATCTTAATAGTCCTGTGTCGTTAGGCAATGATAACCTGATCAAGAACTCAAGTCATATTTGAGAGCAACAAACACGTTTTAAGAGTTTAGATAAGCATAAGACATGTTCTACGTTTTTCTTCTCTTTAAAGTAGTAGGATTTTTTCCAATTTATTTAACCACCCTTACTTGGCCCAAACAAGAAAATATAAAGCAAAAAATCCAAACCCTATTTCCTTCATACTAACCTACAAAAATGAATTTTCGATGAAAAAACTATACATACAAGTTAGAAGAAAATGAAGGCTGACATTAAACACTGTCCTTTTCTTCATTGTTACATGAAACAAGCAATCAGAAGTATTCAATTGCCAAAACATTCCCTAAGAGATAGACCCTCCACTCTCCCACGAAATATATATGTATTTCCTGAAATATACCTCATAAATTGCTCTGGCATTTTGGGGAGTCAAGCTTTGGCCATTTATTAACTAGGATTACTTGTATTCATTCTCCGGCTACAAACAGCTAATTAGCAGCTTAAAACCAGCTAAAAGCATTCTACTACAGTAATGCAAAAGTAAGCACTACAGATAATATTCAAGTGGCATTTATTTTTGCAGTCCTAACAATTATTTTTCCTTTCACATTAGTACCACAGAAAAAGCCAATCAATTATAATTCAAAGACACTTACTGAAATATTAAGGTATTCAATAAGCCTATAGTGAAGGAATATTAAGGGTATAAATGCCAGTAACTCCTTGCTTAAAAAGCACTTGGTGGTTTCCCAAAAAAAGTCACGTTATCAAAATCATAAAAATTAAAGTAAAAATACAAGTTAAAAAACAAGGGAAACCCTTTTTTGCCAGACGTGTAGTCGCATTTCTGATCATCATTTGTAGACACTACACAGCCGCTGGCTATGTCGCGAGTTCTCACAAGGGATAGGTGGGCGACATTGACGTCTGCAGACAGTTTTGAAGCTCTTGCAAAACTCCACGTACGTTACAGCATCAAACTGACAAATGCAGCAGACGGCATGCGTTTCACAGAAAGGGGGCCCCCTTCCCAGCTTTGTTTTCTCTGGGAGACTCTATTTTACCTGAACTAAAAAAAAAGGAGACCCTTTGCCGGAGGACTGGCTCGGCGAAGTTCCCGCGGGGCTCGGGCGGCGGGCACGCGTTCGCTTCCTAGGGCCCCCCCAGTGAGGCTAGCGCGCGGCCCCTCCCCACAGCGGCCGGGCCCTTTCTCCTGCAGCGGGCTCAGGCCAGGACCCCCGAAGTCCCCAGCCCGGGTCGGCCCCCGGAAGGGGCTGGGCCGGGGCCAGGAACGGAGCTCCAGGGTCACGCCGAGCAGGGGGGCGCATCTTCAGAGAATTCCCAGGGAGAGCAGGGGGCGGGGAGGGCGCGAATCTTCCTCACAGGATTTCAGTCCAGCCGGAAACACGCCTTCCAATCCCGGCCCCTGAATTCAACCTCCGCCAGTGGGGGAGGTGGGTTGAGGGAGACCTTCGAGGGCAAGCGTCCCGCGCGCCCCTCTCAGTGGGAAGAGGGCTCCGGGAGGGGGCGGGCCCGCGCCACCACGCTCCAGGCTGGGCCCAGAAAGAGGGAACCGGGCCGGCTGCCCGCAGTCCGGGGCGTTGGGGCGGGCGCGGCTGGACCTATGGGGCTACGAGGAGGCAGCCGGGGCCCCGCACCGCTGGCCCGGACCTGACAGGGCCGCGGCCCCCACGCCCCCGCCCCCTCCCATCGCGCGGCTGCCTCCGAGGGGGGATGGGGGAGAGGGCGCAGTCTTCCCGAGCGTGTGAGCCGCGCCTACTGGTACTGACCCCTCCGGCCCCTGCCGCTGCTCGCCCAGGTCCCTGGTCAGCCGGCCCCGACCCCGCTCTTCTGGCTCTGCCGCCGCCTCGGAGAGTCTCTGGCCCCTCTCGCTCTGTTTGTTTTTGTTTTCTTCTACCCAGTAACACGGGGGCGAGAGGGCGGCGCTTATTGGCCAAGGCCGGGTGGTCGGCTGGCCAATCGTGGCGGTGGAGCCGGAGCTGAGGCGGAAAGGGGAGAGGAGTGAAACGTGGAAAGTTGGGGAGGGGCGCGGAGGGCGCATGCGCTTGTGGTTCCTGGGACTGGCTGGAGCGGGAGCGGAGCGGGAAGCCGGGGTGGGGGTGTGTTGGGAAGCGTGGCGAGATGGGAGCGTCGGGAAAAGGGCAGTGCTGGGGGATGGGAACGAGGATGAAGCTGCCTAGTCCCAGCTCACCCATTCTCCTCACAGGGCGTTCTGCAAACTGGGCTGAAGCACAGGTTTTGAGCTTCCTGACGTCGCTGCCTCCATTTCTAGACACTCCTTAGGCGAACACTCCAAGTGATCAGCCTGCCCGATTCCTCCTCCCTCTGGCCCCTGCTTTCTCCATGACTTCTAGTTTCTGCAGATCCCATGCTAAGAAGTTTCTCTCAGCGAATCCCCTCAAACCTTTGAGATAGAAATAATTCCCATTTCACAGATATAAAACAGGCCCCAAAACTCTTTGAAGTCCCTTTGCTAATCATGACTCGCCAAGCCTCTGGCGTTCAAACGCACTAATTCCGGACTCCGGTGCTGGGAATCTCAGCCATGGCTACAATTTCTGTATTGAAACTTCCACCTCCCCTCGCTGTTCTCTCTGACTTTTCCTCTTGGCTGCATTCGTTTTGCCTGGTCCTGTCCTTATTCTTTCAACGTCACGGTCCCCTGAGGGTAATAACCAGAACCTTATGCTTCCTCTATGCTCCCAGGAGGGGACTTAGCCACTACCTCTCATAAGATTTTTCAGTTGTCTGATGGGCAGCACCTGAATCATTGCTTGGTCCCTCCAGAACCCAACTGCCTCATCCCGCACAGGCCAGCGCCTTCCCTTGGCTGCCCAGTCACCCTGCCTGGGAATCATCTCTAATGCTGCTATTTCTCTGCGCGCGCACACACACACACACACACACACAAACACAAACCTTCACTGGCTTCCCACTGCCTCTCTTGAGTGTCAGCGCCACGGTCGGTCGTTCAAGGCTCCACGATGTGACTTAAAGACTTTCAAGCTGTGTCTCCACACATATCCCTATATGCCTCCTCAACCCCTGGTAATTCTTTATATATCACCTTGAAATGTCTCTCTTCTCATCTCCTATCTCTGCCTGGTGCAATCCTTCTGTGCCTCATGGCCCTCCCTAGTAGTTTTTTATTTTGTTGTTGTTGTTGTTTTATTTAATTGAGGCAGGGGCTTGCCCTGTAGCCCAGGAGAATGCAGTGGCATGATCACAGCTCACTGCTGTCTCGACCTCCCTCAACTCCCTGGTTCAAGCGATCCTCTCACCTCAGCCTCCTGAGTAACTGGGACTACAGGTGCCCCTCACTATGCCCAGCTAATTTTTGTATTTTCTGTATACACGGGGTTTCATCATGTCGTCCAGGCTGGTCTTGAACTCCTGGGCTCAAGCAATCAGCCCACCTGAGCCTCCCAAAGCGTTGAGATTACAAGCGTGAGCCACCATTCCTGGACGCTGGTAGTTTTTCTGGAGCCTCGTGATTTGATATGATCTTCCTGCCCCTGGTTCTTCACCGTATTGGCTTGTCACACCTCCAGAGGCACTGATCACATTCTACCTGGCATTATTTTATCTGAGTCCCTGTCTAGCCCTTCTGCCCATTAGACTGTAACCTTGTTTAGGGAAAGACCTGTGTCTTACTCATCTGGGTTTTGTTGTTGTTGTTGAGACAGGGTCTTGCCCTGTTGCCTAGGCTGGAGAGCAGTGGTGCAATCTCTGCGCACTGCAGCCTGGACCTATCGGGTTTAAGCCACCCTCCCACCTCAGCCTTCCAAGTAGCTGAGACTACAGGCGTGTGCCACCACACCCAGCTAGTTTTTTGTACTTTTAGTGGAGACGGGGTTTTGCCATGTTGCCCAGGCTTCTCTTGAATTCCTGAGCTCAAGGGATCTGCCTGCCTCGGCCTCCCAAAGTGCTGGGATTACAGGCGTCAGCCGCTGTGCATGACCCACTCACCCATTATTGTAGTACTTAAGATACCTTGTTCATTTATTGTGCCTGTGCAAAATACACCTTGATTTGAGTTTACAAAGATTCTCAGCAGTTGGTGGTCATCCTCATCTCCTGGGCAGTGGCCTCCTGGCCTGGCCAGTATCTGAATTAGTCTCATAATTCATGTTCACTTTTTAAAATCAGAGCTTCCCAGACCTCAGTTTTGTTTTGTTTTTTTCCATTATCTGCAGCTGTCTCCTTTCCCCTCTCTCACCTATACTCTACTGATCAGTGACTGCTGGTCCTTTGTTACCATCCTTCTCTTTCTCCACATTTTTTCTCTTCTCATTCCTTTCAGTTCCCAACCCTTTCCTTCTTCCTCCCTGTCTTCCATTTAGTCATTCATTGAATGTACTTACTCAGCACCAATAGCATAATCAGGCTGTGTTGGATAATCATCCCAAGATCTATGAGATAAGGAAAGAATGGAATATGATTACCAATTTTACAAAGCATCTAAAACAACCTGTTATGTTTTAGCAAATTGCCCCCAAAGGACCCATTAGGGAGGAAAATGTTCGTGTCCTTTTTGCATATTATCTCAAGCAGTACCCATGATGGCTTGGGGGGGATCATGGGGATCCCAGAACCCACCTTTGAGAATGCTGCCATATTTGCGTGTGGTTGACAAGGTTGGGCCAGACACTCAGGAAATGGGGTTGTAGCCCTACCTCCCCCACTAACTTCCTGTAAGAACTTCAGTCCCTCTCAGGACCTTTTTCTTTACCAATAAAATTCAGAAACTGGGCTCAATCACTAATTCCCAAAGTATTTTCCAAAGAACACGAATTTTGTGGAACTTTGATATCATGCAAAAAAAAAAATGTGGGAGGGATTGTTCCATGGTCAAATGCTCTTGGAAATAACTCGTTTAAACAAAGATAAAACTGTTTCTTTACCCACAACTCTTCTCAGTGTTTTGTTTGTTTGTTTTTTGAGATGGAGTTTTGCTCTTGTCGCCCAGGCTGGAGTGCAATGGCAATATCTTGGCTCACTACAACCTCTGCCTTCCGGGTTCAAGTGATTCTCCTGCCTCAGCCTCCCCAGTAGCTGGGATTCTAGGCGCCTGCCACCACGCCTGGCTAATGTTTACATTTTTAGTAGAGATGGGGTTTCACCATGTTGGCCAGGCTGGTCTCGAACTCCTGATCTCAAGTGATTTGCCCGCCTCGGCCTCCCAAAGTGCTGGGATTACAGGCATGAGCCACCGTGCCCGGCCTTCTCAGTGTTTTTAATAAACTATGTGCCTTTAGCATCTTGGGAGACCAAGGTAGGAAGATTAGTAATGCTTCCTACCTTGTTTGAACACAGAACATTTTTTTCTCAAGATACCCCAGAAGCAGTGTTACTTAGAAACCAACTTGGGAAATATGGATGATAGCCACTATCACCAACATTCCTTCCAACTGTGTTGAACACTAGTCACCTGTGCCTTTGCAGCTAAACATTTTAAAAAAAAATGTTTTTAAGAATAAGCTGAAAATGGAAAAGTATCCAAGTGCCAAGAATTTTTGCCTACCAAATCAATCCAGAAATATTTTGGTGTGTGCCTATTCTGTGAAAAGCACAGTTGATTCAGCTATGTTCTTGGTAAAAGGCATTGTACTACTTTAGGGTAGGTAATATCTGAAGCCTAGAGCTGCCCAGGCTTCTGGGCCACAACGTACATTTTCATTTCACGTTGTAATTGTCACCAACTAGGTTTCTGTTACCTGAATCCCTGTGCCTATGGGCTTATGTTAATTTAGCTATTAGATGACAGAAAAGGAGAGGGTCCTTCCCCTGAACTCACTCTATACAGAATAATGGAATTGCAACTTCCATTTCCCTTGAGAATGATTCATTCCAAGAGTTTAGGAGAGGAAGGGAGATCACAGTTGCCCAGAACAAGACAGCTGTTCAGAGATGGCAACAGAAGCTCTGTGCTGTGTGAGCAGATAAACGTTATATACCTCATCTTCCCCGTACTACTCAGGCTTAAGCAATATTGAGATACTTGGAGGGGTGCAAGTGTTTGGTTTTGTTAGGGGAGAGGGTGGGAGATAGTTTCTATTTTTTGCCTCTTAAGACAAGGTAGTGACCCTGTCCCTAACTAGCTGTGTTGCTTTGGGTGTTTCGCTTCCTCTCCCTGGGTGAATTGAATGCTTCGATTTTCTGTGCTGTAAAAGAAGGAGGTGCCCACCGCAGAGAGTTCATAAGCAGTCATTCAGTTCTAATACCGTGGGATGCTGAGCAAGGTACTGCGTTGGTACCATGGGAGTCCTGGGAATGGAGAACAAGAGATAAGAGTTTGCTGACTGGGTGCGGTGGCTCATGCCTGTAATCCCAGCACTTTAGGAGGCTAAGGTGGGAGGATCATTTGAGGCCAGGAGTTCAAGACCAGCCTGACCAACACGATGAAACCCCATCTCTACTAAAAATACAAAAAAAAAAAAAAATAGCTGGGCATGCTGGTGCATGCCTGTAGTCCCAGCTATTCGGGAGGCTGAGGCAGGAGAATCTCTTGAACCCAGGAGGCGAAGGTTGCAGTGAGCTGAGAGCGCCATTGCACTCCAGCCTGGGCGACAGAGAGAGACTCCACCTCAAAACAAACAAAGGAAGGAGTTTGCCACTGTTGGCAGGAGAGGATTCCACTGGGTGTGGACAGAGGGACTGTCAACCCAGGGGCTTTCTCCTAATGCACAGCTCAGATAATATCACCTCCCTCCATCCCAAAGGCAAAGTGATGGCTGGTGTGGGTTTAGGAGCACTAATGAATTAATTTGGGTAAAGTACTTGAAAATGCACAGTTGAAGGCAAAAGATAAGCACCGAGATTTACTATTATTGCCTTTGGAACTCTCCAAGGCTTTTTCATTCTTTGGGTAAAGTCTTATTTGAGAGTTCTGTTTCTTAATAAGCAACATTCATGCCCCTAAGTGAAATTGAGAAGAATTTGTCTTTCTGGGGAGTAAGAGTAGGTCTTAGCCCACTTGCTTCCTAAGAAA